AGATCAGTACTTCCATTCAGCCTATGAAAAGGGCATTTGTTCTTAAAAAGGTAGAAATTATCCCACTTCTAAGTTCTGGTGCTTAAAAATAAAACACACATACACACTCACCTCATACACACCCAGAGCGAATTGAGGAGGTACATATAGTAGGGTATGATGACATAAAATTCCCTCTGCAATGTGACAGTACTGTGGGCCTTTAATAGCTATGCATGTCTGTTAATTAAACTTCTTAGCTGCTGCTCTTCTGCTTTTTTTGGATTGATGCTCTTCTGGATCTTGGTGCCCATGATGTAACTTTTGGCCGTTTGAGGAGTTGGTTAACAGCACTGAGTGTGTTTGATGCGTTGTTTGAGCATGAGTTTGGTGGAATTTTGGATTTTATAATAGGAAAAGCATTGTAAAGGGAGGTAGAATTATCTGGCAGGTAGAAGGTAGAGGAGAAAGGAGTTGCTGTAAGAAAATGAGTTGCTATAAGACATTGCATCAGTGGGCTAGGGAGGATTTGAAAGTGATTTCAAGATTTCTTGCTCTTCTTCCATGTGTAGGATGGCCTCTCAGTAATCTTCGTTTAAATGTACTCTATTTTCCTCTTGAAGTTCTGTAGCAGGGAGACCATTTAATTGTGAAAGAAAAACTAAAGTAGAGCTCATACACAAAGGAAGGTAATCTTAGAGGAAGAAAGAAAGGCCCGATACATGGTGGTAGGAGTCTGGGCTAGAGGACAGACATGGATTCTGATTCTGACTTTGCCACCACTTTGTAATGTAGTTGAGTTAACCTTCTTAGGCTGTAAAATGAGGGAATTGGACTACCTCTTGAATGTACGATTCTTTGCTTGTGAGATTGAATATTGGGTATGTCTAGTAATAGAAGTGGTTAGAGATCCTCTTCATATATGAGGAAAGTTAAACTAAAAGCAGTGGCGGGGGCCTTGAAAAAGTATAAAAACTTGGAATATTTTGATGTATAAAGAGGAAAGGAGGGCCAATTCTGCCATTTTAGAAAAGGAGGCAAGCTCTGGAGGGAGCATTTTAGACGCTTGCATGGGGAGAAAACTGGAGTAGAGTGTAGAAGAAAAAGGGGAGTTGCTCATTTAGTATAAAATAAGGTTTTTCTCATTTATGTGCCCCTATTCTTGTTACTTATGAAACTTTCCTGCATGTGACAGTGTGCATGAGTATTTAAAGTCTGCTGTTATCCATAGATTTGACTTGAGCACACATGGTTGTTTTTGTTGACTTACTAGTGTCTGCAGTCTGACTTGAACACATAGAACCCACATTTTTATTCTCCTTCCTTAAATTTGTGATATTAAAATACATGAAAAATCGTATGTTGAATACATTTCAGGTAGCAAATATTTTGCATGCTCTGAGGTGTTTTATTTATTAAAGAGCCCTGGTGGTGCAGTGGTTAAGCACTAGAAAGGTCGGTGGTTTGAACCCACCAACTGCTCTGCGGGGGAAAGTTGTGGAAGTCTGCTTCTGTAAAAATTACACCCTTGGAACCCTATGGGGCAGTTTTGCTTTGTCCTGTAGGGGCACTATGAGTCGGAATCAACAGCAACGGGAGGTATTTTATTATTCTTATTCTGGAAGTTTGGGCACAGGCCCTCAGGCTGTGGTCCAGTAGTAGGATGTAAAGCTTTTCTATTCTCTGTAGCAAACCTGCACAGACTGGCCCACTCCCACCTGGCAGCTGCTAATAGCATTAGTGGATTTCCAAGTTTTTCAGCTGTTAGGAAAGGCAGTTGAAGTGGACCTGGGATGCAGATGACTTCTGGGAGAGCAGCCTCTCCATGTGGATTTGTAAAGCTCACTGTCACTCCATCCCAGCCTCTTCCCAGTCCCTGTGCCTGGATCTTGCTAAATTGTGATCATCGGAGGTTCAGAAAGCAGAGGCTGGGGGCAGGGGAGGGGTTATGGGGAGGTTGGAGGCACTCGCCCAACCAAGGAAACCAGGAAGCATATCTAGGAATAGATCTTTAACTGGCAGAATTTCTGAAGATTAGGACTGGAACTCAGACCTCTTAATTGCAAGTCTGGCGGTCCCCTTTATTTGGAGGGGGAGGGGCGGGAGGGGAATGATAGTTACCAAAACCAAAAACCAAACCCGTTGCTGTCGGGTCGATTCCGACTCATAGCGAGCCTGTGAGACAGAGTAGAACTGCCCCATGAGGTTTCCAAGGAGTGCCTGGTAGATTTGAACTACTGACCTTTTGGTTAGCAGCTGAACTCTTAACCACTATGCCACCAGGTTTTCCAATTATTAGTTAAAAGGGGTACATTTAAAAAAAAAAAAAAAGTCTGTTACAGAGGACTGGCCTGAGAACAAATCACTGTCATCTTTTAATCTCTATCTTAATCTCCTTATTCCTCCTTTACAATTTATCCCTACTGATATATTACTTTTTCCCCCCTTTTTAGATGTACAGGTTTTGAAAGAATTCTTAGCTATATCAGCTGCAGTTTCTCACAGCACCTTGATGTTAAGACTAGATCCAAAACTACCTTTTTCTCAGAACACAGGCAAGATTTCTTAGTCTTTCTCTTACCCCCAGTGCTATTACAATTGTAAGGAAATTCTGTAGATCATAGATTTAGAAGCAAGAAGTCCTGAGGTGGAAACTCCTAGCTATTTACCTGAGTAATATTATTTAGTTTTCTTCTCTTCTTTAATCCCTGCCCCAGTTTCTGTTTCTTTGTCCCAAACTTGCAGCATTGGGCTTCTTTTTGATCCTTACATCCCCTGTTCAGGTAGCTCTCCCGCTGACTCTGACAGCTTCATGGTGGGGCAGGGATTGCAGGAAGCCTGTTCCTGAAACTGGCTCAGCTAACAAAAGGGTCACCTTGTGTAAGCAGCATTCTCTTGTTTTTATCTGTGTTGGAGGATACATGAATTGTTGAAATGCTGCTTGAAACTCCCGGAGCCACATTTTGGCTAGGCTTGATACAGTGTAAGAGGCAAGTGGTCTACCCCTTTTCCAAAGAGTAGGAGTATCCACTATTATTTTATCAGACTTTCTTTTGAAGGTTTGGAAAGAGCTTTTTGAAGCCTGCCAGGGTTTGAGTCAGGATGGGCTGAGGAACAGAAGGAGGATCTTGGTGTCACCTTGCCTCCTATCTGTCTCCCTCCTCTAGTCCTTCTCCAGTGTTGTACATAATCCTGTGGTCAAAAGAGCCTGCTTACCAGATTGGCAGTGAGGGAACCACCCCAGCTTTTCATACCTCAAGCTTCACTTTGTAAAAAGAGCTCCTCAACTGATCTTCTGAATCGAGCCAAACCTAGCCAGCTAAAGACCTTTGACAACTGGTGTGGCCCATTGCCTCCTTCTTGAAGCTTGTGGGTCTATTCTACTGAGCAGCAAGCCTGACCAGCAGCTGTTTTTCAGTCTTCTTTTCTGTATAACTAGCAGGCAGTTTAGTTAGACCTCTAGCCTCTTTCAGGAGTTTTCTTTTGCTGACACTAAGCCACTCAGTCATTTGGGGCAAGAAGCAGGTATGGTCCCACTGACACCCTGATCTGCATGCAGCACTTTTCTATAGGCAGGACAGGATTACCATTCTGGTTCCCTTCGGCTTCTCTGTCAGTGCAAATCACAGCCAGCTGTAGTTTTTAAAGTAGTACTTTGAAAGATGAGCTTGTGCATCTGATGCCTGAGAGATATAGTTCCTCTTTCTGCCAAAGGTGGTGCCTCCTCTTTCTTTGTTGTCTTCATGCTAGGACATAACTTGAGGTGTTTGATTCAGGGATAGAGACAGGGAAGCCCTAATTCACTCAGTAGTAAATCACTCGAGTACTACTGATCCAGGTAAATTTTCAGTTCTGTTTGCTTCTTTCTTTTGTAGGGCTTTCTAATCAATCTTGTCGGACACATTGAAGGACTGCAGGGTGAGTGCCTTTCTGATTAAGGAAACTGTCTTTTTTAATTGCAGGTTCCACTACAGCTTATAGAAAGTGTTGAATGCCGAGATATATTTCAACTTCATTTGACTTGCAAAGACTGCAAAGTTGTCAGGTATGTGGTCTGTGTACGCTGCTGTTTGGTGTGGAAAATAATTTTTAAAGAATGAAGCCATGGTCTGGTAACTTAGCAAAACGGCTTTTGAGTGTCAGCCTTGTTGCAAATATTTGCTGAATAATTAGTACCTGAAATATTCTAGAATACTTTGCTATCTTGAAAGGTATTTTTTACTTTTTATTTGGAAATAGTTTCAAATTTACAAAAAAAGCACAAAAATAAAAATAGTACCAAGAACGCCAGTATACTGTTTGTACAAATTCACGGATAACATTTTACCCCATTTGCTTGTGTGTGTGTGTGTTTCTTTTTCTGAATGATTTCAGGGCAGGTTACATAATCATGGCTCTTCACTCCTAAATACTTCAGTATGCATTTCCTAAGAATAGGGATATTTTCTTACATAATCACTGTACCATTACCAACTTCACAATTTTACATTGATAGTAATTTTATCCAATTCATGTACCAGTTTTATTGGTTGACCTAATAGTGTTCTTTATCACATCCCCTTTGTTCCCCACCTCATTCAGCACAGGTTCAGTCTTGGTCAGATCTGCATTTAGATGCCATAACTCCTTAGCCTCCTTTAATCTGAAACATTTTTATAGCCCTTTTTTTTTTTTTTTTTTAAATCTTTTATGACATTACGTTTTTGAAGATTATAGCCTCCTCCCCACTTTGGTTTTAATGGAATGTTTATCATTTTGTGTTTGTGTGATGTTTCTTCATGAGTAAATTGAGGTTATGCATTCTCAGCTGGAATACTGTATATATGATATTGTGTCTTTTTCAGTGTGTTATATTACAGCTGGAGGCAAAGAGTGTTCATCTGTCCCTCATTGGTGATGTTCATTTTAATCGCTCTGTCAAGGAAGATGTCACCCGATTTCTGTATAATTTCTATATTTTTCTCCCTTGCAACTAGTAAGCAGTCTGTGGGAAGCACTTTAAGACAGAGCAAATGTGCTATTTTTATCAAAATTTCTCCCTGGATTTTGCATCCATTGATGATCTTATCTGATCTAATCTTTATTATAATAGCTGCAAGCTGATGACTAAAATACGTTTTTAAATTTAGTAGCTCTGTTTACTTTGGGGGCCCTGGTGGTAGAGTGGTTAAGCGTCCGCTAACCAAAAGGTCGACAGCTCAAATCCACCAGCCGCTCCTGTAGGGTCGCTATGAGTTGGAATCACCTTGACGTCAGCGAGTTTGGTTTTGGTTTAATTTTCTTTATCCCCTTGACCTGTTCTGGAATACCGGGAAGCATAGTATGTTGGCATATTGACCAGCCACAGTGGGGCGAGAGAGAGTTTTAAGGTGACCCCTTAAACCTTTTTAAGGTAAATATTGAAGTTGCTTTTTAGCCATTGAGATTTGGCTTGCTTTTGATAGATAGTTACTGGCTACAACTCACAGTTTAAAAATCCTGATTGTTAATTACTTAATTTTTAACACTTTCTGTTTGAAAAGGTAAACTATTTAAACAAATTCCTCAGTAAATCAGTTTATATTACAGTAATTATTTTAACCCCTTAGTTATATGTACTGAAAATTAAAATTGATAACAACATTGCTTTGTTCTCTAGGTGGTCACGGCTGAAAGTTTGAACGTAATCTTATTTTGGACCTAAAGTTGTTGATTTGTTCTAATTGCTAAATAGACAGATTTTGAAATTATTCTCTAATTGGCCAAAAGCAGTGCTATGTTTTCGTTTTTGTTTTTTTGTTTTGTTTTTTTTAGTTCAACCTGATACATCACAACAAAACAAGAAAACACTTCTCAATGTATTTTTGAGAGGGACAACCATAAGGCTTTGATGGAAGGAGTAGAATGAAACTCCATTCATGAAACAGAATAATGGTCATTTTATTACTATTTTTGTAATTGTGGTAAAATATATGTAACAAAACAGTTGCCAGTTTCAATCCATTTTATTTTAATAATTGTCATTAATCAGTCTCAGAAGAGATTTCATTAGTCTATAAAAATAAATTTTCCACATGTCCATCTTCTTTTTGACATTTTGCACTCTTGGATAAAATTTGTTGAACTTACTTTTATGGTAAATGATAATGAGTGTGTGACTACCTCTGATGCTTTCTCAGCTGCAGTTGCCACTTCAGTATGAGTGGGCACCCTTGAAATGGTATCTTCACTTAGATTGCATTGCCATCTGTCTTCTGATTGACATTTATACTTGCTTGGCTTCACAAAGGTGTCAGTTCTCAACCTTTGAGCAGTGTCAAGAGTGGCTTAAGCGATTGAACAATGCAATCCGACCACCTTCTAAAATAGAAGATCTTTTCTCATTTGCATACCACGCTTGGTGCATGGAGGTCTATGCTAGTGAAAAAGAGCAACATGGAGACCTGTGCAGACCAGGTAGGTCTTCCTTAAATGTGCATCTGGGGGGCTTATTGAGCTATTGTTTGAGGTACATTTAACATGAAATGGGACTCCTAAGCATTCATGCATTCAGTCAGTGTATATTTTTTGGAGCACCTAGCAGTGCCATCTCTCTTCTAAGTTCGATAGAACATGTTTCCTACCTTTCAGGGAAAGGGAAGAACAATAAATTTGGCATCATAATCTATTGGGTCTAAAATTAGCTATAATAAGGTTTGATAGGTGTTAGGGAAGCCTAGGTGGTGCAAATGGTTAATGTGCTCAGCTGCTAACCAGAAGTTTGAAGGTTGGAGTTCACTCAGAGGCACCTCGGAAGGAAGACCCGGCAATCTACTTCTGAAAAATCAGCCATTGGAAACGCTAATAGAGCAGCATAGTTCTACTCTGACACACCTCGGATCACCTTGATAGCAACTGGTTTTACTGGTATGGAAGCTTCATAGAAGGAAGCCATGAGTTTTGCATATATGTTTGAGAAGACTTTACATTAGAAGTAGCTTTTGAGTAAGCTTTAAAGGTTAAATAGAAGTTCATCGGTTAGAGAATAGGGAAAGTAAATCTTTAGACAGAGTGAGTAGCATGAACAAAGGTATGGAGGTATGAGGGTAGGCTGCAGAATAGTGGAGTATAAAATGGCCTTTTGCTATCTTGGCATTTTTGAATCCTAGATTACCTATTGTCACCCCTTTCATCCTATAGATGAAAAAACAAAGACTCAGAGAGGCCAGGTTACTTCACCAAGGATAAATAGAGAAGCTGAGCCTGTACTGGAACCCAGGCTTCCTGACTTCTCACATAGTCTTTGTCTCATACACTATCTTTCTCCCTCAGAAATGGCTTTGACCAAGTCCGTGCTATTTCTCTACATGTAGTTGTCCATAAAGTTTATGCTGCTTTAAATAGAACTTTAGAACTTTGCTGATTCAACACTAACTCTCTAGTGTGTCAGACTTGGAAGCAAAGTCTTGAATTCCTAAACAGTGAGAGGTTGTGAGCCTCTTCCTATGCAGTTTACTCTTGAGATTTTTTTTCATTAGACCTCAGTTTTAACCCTGAATCTTTGATCTTACAGATCTGCCCTGGGTCAGTTTAAATACTTGAGGCTAATGTAGCTGTGCTTGTATCACTTTGTTCCTCAATTAGTTTTGTTCAGTCAGCTTCACTGATTGAAGCTTTTGGTTCATGTTCTTGTTTGTTTAATTAAAATATACAAACATAAACACTACTTTATTTTCAGAGATGCTAGATCCTCATAACCTCACCAAGTAGGCAGGATAGGCTGTTGTCTGTTTTGGGAGCCAAAAAAAATGGAGGCTCAGTGGTAAAGCATGTTGACAAGTCCCACTGCTAGCCAGTGACAGAGCTAGGATTTAAACCCAGTTCTCAGTTATTGAGAGCTATGTGGGGTGCTGCGGATACAGAGCTGAACAACAGAGGCACCTGCCTTTGTGGAGACTCAGGGAAAGCCTCAGAATCCAAGCTTCCCACAAGCCTGTCCAGGCCAGTAGAACCCAAAGTCATCCACAAGAGACCACACCAACCTTAGAAGCTTATGAGAATGTGCTTCAGCTGTCTCTCACTTCACTCCCTTAACCATTGTGTCTTGTTTACTTTCTTCATTTTTTTTTTTAAATCATGCTGTAGATGAAAGTTAACAGCTCAAGTTAATTTTTCATACAAAAATTTATACACATATTGTTATGTGACCTTAGTAGCAATCCCTATAATGTGACAGCATACTCCCCCCTTCCACCCCGCATTTCTCGTGTCCATTCAACCAGCTCATATCCCTTTCTGCCTTCTCATCCCGCCTCTGGACAGGAGCTGCCCATTTAGTCTCGTGTATCTACTTAAACTAAGAAACACACTCTTCACAAGTATCATTTTATGTCTTACAGTCCAGTCTAATCTTTGTCTGAAGAGTTGGCCTTGGGAATGGTTTTAGTTCTGGGTTAACAGAGGTCTGGGGACCATGTCCTCTGGGGTTCCTGTAGTCTCAGTCAGACCATTAAGTCTGGTCTTTTTACTAGAATTTGAGTTCTGCATCCCATCCTTCCCCTGCTCCATCAGGGACTCTCTGTTGTGTTCCTTGTCAGGGAGGTCATTGGTGGTAGCCAGGCACCATCTAGTTCTTTTGGTCTCAGGCTGATGGAGTCTCTGGTTTATGTGGCCCTTTCTGTCTCTTGGGCTAATATTTTCCTTGTGTCTCTGGTGTTCTTCGTTCTTCTTTGCTCCAGTGGGTTGATGCATCTTAGATGGCAGCTCGCAAGCTTTTAAGACCCCAGACGCCACTCACC